ACCCCACTTCCCTGTTAGTTTTAACATATCCGATAATAACCAGCAGGCAACCAGGCAATAATCAGAAGGATGAAAGTTCACTATCTTAATGGAGCAGACATCTCTAAGTTAAACGGAATACTTACAAGTAATTATGCCTGTCAATGTGTGCAGTCATGTGAAGGGGTTGATCCTCGCAGCCGTATATCATCCTGTCATCCTCAGGTAGTAGGTCAATATCGTGGAAAATGAAGCAAGTATAATTGGCTAATTTAGTAGCCTCCCTGAACCCAATATTGAAAAGCGCAGCTCGGTTGAAGACATCTGGTGTCGCCTGTAATTAAAACAAACGTGTTTTCAGATATTTAATTTCTTAGTTATATCCAGGTGATGGAGTCTGTGTATGTTCTAAAAACCATGCACACAGACGTCCTCATTCACAGATTTACATGATCCAATCAGAATTATTCAGGCTTTATGGTTTTGCTTAAAATACCTAAATAGCCGACCAGGTTTTCGCGTCTGCATACATATGCATATTGCTGTTATTTGCAAAAGCAGCATTTGTTGATTAAATTTTCTGCAACGTTTGATTGCAAACCGATAGCATTCCACGGCAATTTCTCGCTTTATGTATTATTCAAGTGAAGCCAAAATAAAGCTATATCATACGGTATATTTAAGTGAAGCTGCGCCTTTCGTAAGAGACAAAGGAAACCTGGAAGCGATCACTTGCTAGTACCTTCTTTTTATGCCAAATGGAAGTCAATCAGCAAAATAGACATGATTGAACCTCATTACTCAGGTGAATAGAATTGCTGTTGGTACTACAAGTGCGTTTTTGACTCTGAGATCGACAGCATACTACCAATTAGACTAAAGGAAATTTAAATTTGCGTTAACGTCGAATCGGTTTAAAAATCAGCAAAATATTTGGGTCACAAGTCTGTTAATCATAATGAGAAACATGAAAATCGGCATGATTTATAGTCGCGGTGAGGACAACGAATGGTGTGCCCTTGCAAACATTGTATCTGCCATCCGACAGTTCCTGTTTCGAAAACTGAATCCCTGTGTATCTTGGCTGGAGGGCAGGTTTTCCGAAGCAATCACAGTTACCTGTTAACCGATTGAAATCTGGGATAAAGAGAGGGTTATTCGATATTTGTGGCTTGGAAAGAGAAAACTTGTAAACCTCTCGCCAGGTTTAGTTCATATCACGTCACCGTAACTATGAAGACATTTAAACATGTTTTTGCAGGCTTCATGTTATAACCAATATGCCAACGCCGCTTCAGTGAACTGATGATTTAAACGCACTTTATTGAATGTAATGTGCTTGGGTGTTTTAAATGGTTGCGTTCAGCTACGTCAGCTTACCTGTTCGATAACGAATATGGTGTACCGTCGACGTTGGTGTCGCAGAAGCGGGTGCATATGGTGGAGGAAGACGGAGAGATTAGCAAATCGATTTCGGAAGGGAATAATTATTGCGGTTAATTCTGGCTGATAACAGCCAACTGGAGTCCACGCAACCCGTGCTGACTGGTTTTCTTTACAACCCACGTATTCCACCTTGTAGCTGAGGTCCGTGAAATTTTCTTTCCCAGACCATGTCAGTTGATCCGACGACAATCCCCACTTTAGCGCCAGTTGATCAAATGGCACATATTGCATACTTACATTGAGTCGTCCATCTATTAATTGTAACACTGATTTTCTTTAAGGTTGTCAATCTCTTTCTTGTAAAAACAGAATTGGGCGTTAAAAAAAATAGTAGCCGATTTTGTGTTTTCGACATTAGAATTTTATATTTTATGTTGACAGGCATGCATTTCGTAGGATTCCTCAACACAAATTAAAATATATATATATATGTACAGTAGTCGCCTAAGACCATGCAGCGTTCATCATGAAATGTGACCTGACACATGACGTATATTTAGTAAAACTATT